ATCTTGTCCTTCTCCATCATGCTAAGCATGCAAATCTAGGTCTCAGTTTAAAATTTCAGTCCTCATTTTCTGAGAGAATGCTCTGGCTCCTCATTCTCTTCTTCCTGAAGGGTGTGGGTGTATATAAGTGTGAAAGGCACTAGAAGGCCAAAATGAGGACACTGTCTTGAAATTACCTTAGAAAGTTAAAGCTGTTGACATGGCTTCTTGGAGCAGAAGTTCTTCTGAACATTCTTGTAATAATAGCTGTGTTTCAGGGAACATAGTGTCATGGCCAGCCATGAGGAGGACTCCAGAGAGGGAAGAGATACAGGCTCCACCTGGCTCTCATTCTGCTCTGTCTGAGCCAAGCCCTGTTCTCCCAGCCCCAGAGCAGCCAGGTCCTAGTGCTACTCCTACGGAGGCTCAGCTGCCTAGTGGGGAGAATCAGGAAGATACAGCAGGGCCAGTACCTTCCTTTAGGCAGAGGAGAGCTGAGAGTGCTGGCAGTCGCAGGTCCATGAGGCTGGCTGAAAAGCAGCTGCTCAACAAGCCTCAGCTGGCACTCAGGTAGGATTTGGCTATTTAAACATCCGCAAAAGGCTTCTTCAGTGTCAAGACTTATTGAAGTTTCCTTGTGAGACTATGGTTGGTGAGGCTCCTTGTTTCCTGCCTTGTGGAACCCTGTTGCCTTGACCTCGGACCAGACTGGACTTCTGTTGATTGCTGCCTGCCCTGACCTTAGACTGACTGACTTTGAATTCTGGACTCTGCTTTGTTTGTGTTTTGACTACAGGAAGGTTTGTAGCTGGCTTTGCTGTTTGTTGCTCATCCTTATCATCCCTAGCAGCAGTTGTGGGAACTGAGGCTGGCTGTAGTCCAGGACACATAGGTGGTTTTGAAGGCAAAGGGATGTTGAATCCACTCAGGATTTTAATGTGAATGTTAAAGGAGTTATTCCCCCAAACTGATGTATGCATATTAAAACAATCCACATGTAAAATTCATCATTTTAAAGTTAGACTGCTCCCAGCACCAAACTTCCATTGAACATTGAAGATGAAAATCTGTACTGCACTCACCATACACTGTTTGATCAAGAATTTGTGTAGTTAAGAATTTTTATCTTGAAGTAGCTAATAATTTTTGTCTTGATTTGTTTAAATATATGAAGTAAAGAGGGAGGACTTAATAGAAATCTGCTCTGATCTTCATTGATAAAAAAAAATCAAAACAGATACAGGAGGATATAGGAAGCTGCCCTATATACTGAGTAGGCCATTGGTCCACCTAGCTCAGTATTGCCCAAGTGACTGACAATAGAAATACAGTGTTTCAGAACTGAGTTTTTATACTCATATCTGGAGATGCCAGGGGACTGAACCTGGAATTTTTCTATGCACAGAACCTGCCCTTCCATTTGAGCTGTCTTCCTAGGCAACAATATCTGGAAGAGAATGGAGTAATGATGTAAATAATTCTTGTCAAAGTTTAAAAAACACACGAGATATCATTATTAGAAGCTTTCATCAGCTTTTTTAAAAGCAGAAATTATTATAACTTCTTGATCAATTTGCAAATGAAGTGAAGGGATAGGTCCTTTCAGCTGACAATTCGATGGCCAGAATTTGCAAATTTTGCATAAGCAAAGTTACCATTCATATTGGATTTTACAAGAGGCTATTTCCTTTGTTAGGGCAATGTCCTCCACCAGCTTTGCTCCCAGCTTTGCTTTGTAAAACAAACGAGAACAAAAGGAGGGGGCATTTTGTGTGTAGGTGGTGGTGGATACCTTCAAACCTTCTCCCCTTTCTACTCCTGCTCTCCCATTCAAATTCACAGAAGAGAAGAAGGGGTCCCTTTATTCTTCCATAGACAGGCATGCAAAAAATTACTTTAGCAACCTGAACTAAGTGAACTTTATTTTCTCTGGTTTAATGGTTATCAACAGAAGATCACTCCAGACCAGACTCTTTGAGCAACTGAAGGAAGTGGTAAAAGTATTCCCTGCTTAATTCCCAATGTTACTTCTTCTCATTTGTTTTTCAAAGCAAAGATGTGAGGTGATCAATCATGGGAGAGGGTTCCTTGTCTCCTTTCATCCTGTTGCTTTGTCATGATCATGAATGATGATGGTTCTGCCCCTTGCCAAGGGGAGAATGCTTGATTTTGTTTTATTTAATGAAAGTCTCTTTAAATGTTAAAGCTACAATTTATTTATTTAACCTATGATTGGTTTGCTTTTGGGCTGTGGATGTAGATGGCTGAGCTGGGATTCGAACTCTAGCTTCCCACTCCATCATAGAAACTCACTGGGTGATCTTGGGCAAGTCACGTGTTCTCAGCCTCAGGGGAAGGCAAATGGGTCCCTTCCAAATCCAACTCTAGAATCCTTGGTATTCCTTCATGGTATAAGGGATTGGACTAGATGACCTCTGGGATCCCTTCCAGTGTTAGGATTTCTCCATGGCAGAATTCCTGCTTGGCAGAAGAGCATTGCCATTTGCCACTTCACCCCACTCCACCTCCTTCTTCTCTTCTGTGGGGGTCACACTCTCTCAGCCTCAGAGGAAAACCATGGTAAAACTCCCCCTGCACAGGCCTTGCCAAGAAACCCTATGATTGATTCACTTTAGCATCACCCTGAGTGGGAAATGACTTGAAGGCACACAACAACGACAACAACGACAGTACTCTTAGAAGTCACACTCTCTCAACCTCAAGGGCAGCTGGGATTGGTTTTTTTCTTTTTTCTTTTTGTGTGCCTTCAAGTTTTTTCAAGCTGAGGAACATTCTTTAAACTTCTGCCAAACGTCCTTTGGCCATGCTAACTGAGTTTGAAATGCAAATTAAATTAGCACCAATATACATAATTAGCATAAATTTTCACCTTGCCTTTTATTATCATTTGAGAAATCTGTGAAAAATACTTCTCTTGCCCCTGATAGGGAAAGACAAACAACCTTTTGAAAGTGGAACTTTTGAAATGAATAATTTAAAAAAAAAATCACATCTAGTTCTCAATGGACCAGCCGAAAAAAATGATTTGTCACAACACTAAGAAACTATAATTGGGGGAGGATTTTAAAACTCTTTAGTAGATTACAATATGCCTAAATCAGAAACATTATAGTGCAACAGAGGTTTATGAATCTTACTCAGAGTCCCAATGGCTTGGAATGACACAAATTGTAGTCTCAAATAGCTGGTTCCAGCTAGAATAAGAACAGTTGTTAAATGGGGAATTAGCACTTAGATAAATTCCCTCAGTTCCATGGATCTACTAAATTAGCGGCTAGCAGTAGGAATCAGTCCCAGCACAACAGGAGATCACCAAGGCTGCAGTACTGTTCACAAAGAATTTATAAAGAGTTCATAAACTGTTTATAGGAGCATCACCTCCTTTTGTTTGTTTTCATGTATTACAAAAGGAAAAAAATGTATCTGTGTTAGTCTGGAGATGCAAAAGGATCTTGTAGCACCTTTGAGACTAACTGGGAGAAAGAAAGAAGTTGTTAGCATAGCTTTTTGTAGACACTGCAGAAATTATCCAGTTTGAGACCACTTTAACTACCCTAGGGAATTCTGGGAACTGTAGTATTGTAAGGCATTTAACCACAATAAACTACAATTCCCAGGATTCCCTAGCACTGAGCCAGGACAGTTAAAGCAGACTGAAGCTGAAGCTGACTTGCCAAAGCTCACCCAATGGAGTCCTAGGGGCTTATTGCACCATCAAAAACCTGGCTGCTCCCCAGCGGGATACAGCTGGGTGGTGGGATGCAGGTGGATAGTACCTCATGCAAGTTGCCACCAATTCTGTTGACCGCTTGCATCCTGGCTGCATCCTGGGTCCCAGGTGTGCTAAAGAGGTCTTTTTTTCACACCCAGGAGCTTGTCATCTTTGAAAAAAGGCCTCTGAAGCACAACTGCAATCCAGGATGCAGCTGGGATGCAGCCCGGTGGAATTGGCAGCAACTTGCATGCGATAATACCCACCTGCTTGCTGCCACCTGGCTGTATGCCATTGGGGATCAGCTGGGTTTTTTGACAGTGCGATTAGCCCCGTAGTCCAACACTCAAACCATTATATCATGCTGGCTCCTCTATCTCCAAAACAACTTCAACACATTATTTAGCTCTCTCTACACATGTGAGCTGAAGTCTGACAAGGAAGATTTATCTATTATTCAGAGGAGGTTTGCCATTGCCTTCGCCTGATCCTGAGAGTATGTGACTTGCCCAAGGTCACCCAGTGGGTTTCATGGTCAAACTGGGAATTGAACCCTGATCTCTGGAGTCAGTCCAATACTCAAATCACTATGCCACACTGGCTTCCCAAAAGATATTGTATACATAATATAATATTATACCATTTTGTTTGAGAGGAATGACTCATTTATCCTCTGTTGTTGGACAACTGGACAATTGTTCTGAAAGTGAGAGAAAATATCTAGGTAACAAATCTTCAATGTTTGAAAAGTATGTGAGCAGTGGTTTATGTTTGAGGGGAGTTCTTTAAAAAAAATGCAGGGTGTACGCTGTTTCTGTTCTTTCCCCCATGTTGTTTTTGCAGCTATATGTTTGAAACTAAAACACATCATAGTCATGTCATCAGGCCAAAAAGTGTAAGGTTTCAAGAATGTATATGAATACATTAATGAAAATTAAGCTAAGCTTTAAAAATAATTGGTAAAAAGAATTTTACTAAGGAGAAGAGAATAAAATGAGGGGGAAAATTAAAACAGTTAAATCAACCTACAAAGAACAGCATACAATCTCTGAATCCCCCTAGGTCCTAAATCAGGGGTAGAAAACATGTGGCCTACAGCTCCTGCCATGCTTCACATTTGGCTATACTGGTTAGGGCTGTAGGAAATTGGAGCCAACAGTATTTAGGGGGCCACAATTTCCTCACCACTGCCTTAAGTCTCAGGGCTGAATCCCAATGTTAGTCTCAAATAGAATACACTCAATTCATCAATAAAATATAAATATGTGTTGATATTCCAAGCTAGAAAGCCAGCATGGCACAGTGGTTGGAGTGCTAGATTTCAACTCTGGAGACCAGGGTTCCATTCCCAGCTCGACCATGACTTTGGGCAAGTCACATGCTCTGAGCCTCATGTGGGGAAGGCAATGGCAATCCTCCTCTGAACCACTGTTTCCAAGAAAACCTCATGATAGGTTCATCTTAGGATCGCCATAAGGTGGAAATGACTTGAAGACACATAAAACAAAGCAACATACCAAATTGCCACTGATTCAGTGGATCTCTCTAGTTAGGACTCATTAGAATTCAGACCTCACTCTCTATTTTTCTCCAGCTTCTCTGCCTACCCAGCAGGAGAAAAAAGCCAGGAGGTGATTCAAAGGGCACTTTAAAGTTCTCGAAGCATGGATTCAGAAATCGGAAAGTGTTTAAATGTATAAATGTAAGCCTTCCAATACTAAGTCAAGGAAGATGGAGGCACTGGTGGAAATATTGACTGGATTTATGGAGCTGGTGTCTTCACCTGCATGGCGTGGTGGGCTGAAAGGAAAAAAATATGGCATCCTGCAACAAAGAGGAGGAGGATCTACATATGGGAGGGCAAGACCAAGTGAGGTGGGATGTGTATGTTCTGCCCCTCTGCACACAACCCTTCCCTTCCTGTTCAGTTCAGAATGCCCCAAATCAAATCGACAGCACGTTCTCATTTGCAGTGAGCCACATCTTTTCAAAAGACACAGGAGAAAACCCAGTATTGAATATACTGGGGTAAGTGGGTGTTCAGGCAGCCCCCCCCCCAAACTGCAATGAATGCACTCAATGCAAGTGTGAACAATAGGGGAATAACCTGGTCTCCACACTGGGTTATTTCATAGTGTGAATGAGCCCAAGGAGGAAGGAAGCTGGAAGCATGAGTTTTATCAAAGCAACCATTTCAGACCACTAATGTGTGGGAGTCCCTAGTAAAGCGTGCCTTAAGATTAGAAGACAGAAAAAATATAAAAGACACTAAATTTTTGGTGTAGGGGAATAGAAGGAGTTCCCTAATGCCTTTCCAGTCTTAAACCCTGCATAAAGCTTCTTCTGGCGTCTAGATTCATTTCTTGCAAATTTGGTGGGAAGCCTGCTTCATGTCAAGCATGCCCTGGTGGCGCAGTGGTTCAATGCCTGTACTGCAGCCACTCACTCATAGACCACAAGGTTGTGAGTTCAATACCAGCCAGGGCTGAGGCTCAACTCAGGCCTGCATCCTTCCGAGGTCGCTAAAATGAGTACCCAGATTGTTGGGGGGCAATCAGCTCACAGTTGTAAACCGCTTAGACATCCCATGCGCGATATGAAGCGGTATATAAATGAAGCTGCTTTGCTTTGCTTTTGCCAGAGAAATTCATTCAAATCCAGCACAGGATCTTTTAGAAATAAATTTATTTCTATGTATTTCATTTTTCTCCAAGGAGCTCATGTTAGCACATATGATTACTCTTATTATATCCTTACAACAAATTTACTGCATGGGTCATATGATAAGATTACTTTTTTTTATCTGTACCGGTTGTTTCAGCTCATGTGAAATGTAATACTAAAAAGGAGTACTGTGGATACCATAGACTAGCAAAAAAAAACAACAAAAAAAAACAAATACAAATACATGGGTCCTAGAGCAAATTAACTTTGAATTCCCACTGGGAACTAAACTGAGTAAAGTGGAACTATCATACTTTGACATATGGGAATAAATAACTCATTGGTAAAGATGATAATTTTCAGCAAAGTAGAAGAAAGTAGGTAAAGAGGAAGACCACATTTCAGATGGATTAATAAAGGAAGCCACAGCCCTGCATTTGCAAGTCTGTCATCTATGGGGTTGCCATAAGTTGGAACACATTTGATGGCAAAAAAAAGAACAGCAATCCATCTTTTTGGTTACTATGCTAATGTGACAATTACAGAGTTAAATTTACTGTGTTGCTGTGTGCCTTCAAAGCATTTCTGACTTATGTTGGCCCTAAAGCTGGGTCTATTACTATTACTGGGTTTTCTGGGGCTGAGAGTGTGTGTAACCCACCCAAGCTCCCCCACTGGGTCTCTATGGCTGAGTGGGGAATCAGACTGTGATCTCCAGAGTCATAGTCCAACCCTCAAACCACTACACTATGCTGGCTCTCTTAAATTTAAGTGCAATTGTATGACCTTCCAATGGAAGATTAGCAATGTACTTCAAGAAGAACATGGCTGGGGTACTTAAAGTACTTCATACATTTTTTATATAATTTTACAGCATGGGAGCAAGTTATGAGTCACTTGTTAAACAGGCAACTTCAATAATACATCTCGCTTGTAAGAGGAAATTAAATAGTAGTAGTAGAATACCTCTTTGTACTGCCCATAGTGATTTTTCACAGCTTCTGCCTGTCAGACCAATTGATTAATTATATAAACATCCTCAGAACATTTCTGACCTAATGCGGAAACAGTCTAACTGCAGCAGGGGAGGGAGACGCATTCGAGGCTGAATGAGTGTTTGAAATAATAAATGGATCTGATTAAAATATGTCCTATCATAGTAAAACACGTGTCATGCTTGGTAGCAAGAGACTTGAAAAACCAAGAAAACATTTTATGTGTAAATTCACTATTGCTTTATTCCGGTTTTATGACACACTACTACTGCAATCCCTTTAGAATCGACTCAGAGTATTTTCCAGCAAAATGACACTTTAAACCCCCTTTGTCCATTCTCCCTTTGCTCCCCTCCATTTGTCCACTTCAAAAGGGCTTTGAAGTTAGCTCCTTCCAGACCCATTTCCTTTCAACCTCTGGGAAAGGAAGGCAAACCCTCATCCACAGCAATAAACCTGCCCCAGATCTCCTGTCAATTATTTACAATCCCCAACCACAATTCACTACCTCCATCACACATTTGTGGTCAGATTCCTATATGAAACATAGAATTGTGACAACATGTTACCTTGTTTTGGAAAGCATTTATACTAACATTCAAAGATATCTAAAATGACAGTTCCCTATAATTTAAGAAGTTTAATTTCCAGGATATGAAAGTGACATTTGTTTACTCCCTGTTGATCACAGCATAACACTCCTTAGGGGAGAGGGGAGGAAAACTTTAGGCTGCATCTACACTGCAGAATTAATGCAATTTGACACCACTTTAATGGCCATGGCTTAATGCTATGGAATTCTGGGATTTGTAGTTTTGTGAGATATTTAGCCTTCTTCGTCAGAGAGCTCTGGTGCCACAACAAACTACAAATCCCCAGATTCCTTAGCATATTGCCATGACAGTTAAAGTGGTGTCAAACTGCATTAATTCTTCAGTGTAGATGCAGCCCCGCTGGCATACCCTGTTTCATACCTTTGTGGTCATTTGCTACTTTAATATGTTAGCAAGGACTGTTTCTCAGTAGCAGTCATTAGGAAATGACTGGCACTCTGGACTTTTCCCAATAAATACAAGCTGTGATAAGGAAAGAAAATTGGAGGCCTCTGACAACTATTTTCCCCCCTAAAGCTTTCTGAGTATAAAACATTTAAACCAATAATACAGTTTCAATAAAATATGGAGCCTTTAGAGGTAATTGTACAGGGGTATAGGATAGAACAGAATCAATGAAATACATAAATACATCCTAGGAGGGAATAGTCTGGGAACAAGCCACTCTGAAGGTGCTGACAGAAAATGCAATTGACTTGCTTAAGTGCTTTGTTGAAATTTCCTGTCTCACAAGTCAGGTTCCCCTACTTCTAAAATGAAAGACAATTAACTTTAATGGGGTCACACAGAATAATTATGGCCAGGTTTGTCACAGCCCTAAGTAGCTTTGGGCAAGGGTAGCGAAATGATTGATTTCTCCCATATTTATTTATTTACACCATTCTTATCCTGCCTTTGAGTAAAACAACATTCAAGATAGCTAATAGGATGAACTAACCCATTAGGAAGCTACCTTATGACACATTCTGCTGGTCCATCTAGGCTCAAGATAATCTATATGGACTGGCCAGAGCAACCCTGAGTTTCTGGGGGGTGTCTTTCAGGAGTCTCCAGCTTATTTGAAGATGCCAAAGGTAGAATCAATGGCTTTTTGCATGCTTAGTTGGAATACTTTCAGGAAACTCCATATTTTCCCCTCTAACTGCCATCGTAAGTGACTACACGATCACAGAAATTTCCATCTAGATGAGAAAACTCTCTTTAAAAAGAGACTGGCCTAACTCCTTCAATCAGACTGGGATAGTAAGTAAAGATCCTGCTCAAAGAAATATGAAATATGTGTTATCTGTATTATGATGTCTTATCCTGGCACTCAGTATGCTCCTGCCAATACTTAATATACTCTATTTGTGGCATCAGGTTTTTTATAACCAGTTTGTTCTGGGTTGACTTCCACAGTGGTGCTGAGAACAAACCTCAGTTCTGAGAACTCCTTATAAATAGTTTACTCATAATACTTTGAAATTTATATTCCATCAGCTGGAACTCAAGCCTACAAAAGCAGCAAGACCCAAAAGCATGTCTCAGAACAACCAAAAGTTCTCATAGAATAGAACCAGAGAATTATTTTTCCCATGTTGATCTTGAAAGAAAAACTTTCTCATGATAATTTTATTCATTTTAACAACTCCTCCTGTGCCTCCTCTTTCTCCTTCTTATCTCCAAATTCAAAATGTAGTTTAAGTGTTTTTAACTTTTGACATTAGCCTGTGGAAGATGAGACTTGGAGAATTTAATCTTTTGAAGTAGATATCACAAAATAATGCATTATTGAGAAAGAACACACTGTGCTGGAGCATGAATCAGAAGAGATCACTTGGATCACCTAGGTCAGTTCCCCTGTCATACTGGGTGATTGTTCTCCATAAGTTTCTGAAAATTGTGTCCTCAGATGTTACAAGACATCCTTTGGGGCAGCCATCTGAAAAACCCTATAGAAGTTAACTACTAGGAGTCGTCATTACAGAAATGTCATTCCCATTTGTCCCCCCTCTGTTTAAATTGCCCATCTGAGTCAGAGCTTTTGAAGCAAAAACAGAGATTGCAGGAAGCAGAGCAGCTTCTAGCCATTCAAACCCATTTGTGAT